GACATTGGTGCAACAACAACACCAACAACAACAACACCAACAACACCAACAACAACAAATCGTAGCGGCCTCGTGGGATGGCGGGCATACAGCAGAACCCGTGGTAATGACCAATCAACGGGCCCGCATAGAGCTCAACGTGTAGTGTATAGTAGTGTCATGTAATGTTTGGTTTAGTGGATAGTGTAGTGTATAGTAGTGTAGTATATAATAGTGTGGTGTATAGTATATAATAGTGTATAGTATAGTGTAGTGTATAGTAGTATAATAGTGTAGTGTATAGTGTAGTGTATAGTAGTATAATAGTGTAGTGTATAGTGTAGTGTATAGTAGTGTCATGTAATGTTTGGTTTAGTGTATAGTGTAGTGTATAGTAGTGTATAGTATATAATAGTGTGGTGTATAGTATATAATAGTGTAGTGTATAGTGTAGTGTATAGTAGTATAATAGTGTAGTGTATAGTAGTATAGTATATAATAGTGTGGTGTATAGTAGTGTATAGTATATAATAGTGTAGTGTATAGTAGTGTATAGTGTAGTGTATAGTAGTATAATAGTGTAGTGTATAGTGTAGTGTATAGTGGTATAATAGTGTAGTGTATAGTAGTATAATAGTGTAGTGTATAGTGTAGTGTATAGTAGTATAATAGTGTAGTGTATAGTAGTGTATAGTATATAAGTGTAGTGTATAGTGTAGTCTATAGTAGTGTATAGTGTAGTGTATAGTAGTATAATAGTGTAGTGTATAGCTTAATGTATAGTGTAGTGTATAGTAGTATAATAGTGTAGTGTATAGTGTAGTGTATAGTAGTATAATAGTGTAGTGTATAGTGTAGTGTATAGTTTACTGTATAGTGTAGTGTATAGTGTAGTGTATAGTAGTATAATAGTGTAGTGTATAGTGTAGTGTATAGTAGTATAATAGTGTAGTGTATAGTAGTATAATAGTGTAGTGTATAGCTTAATGTATAGTGTAGTGTATAGTGTAGTGTATAGTAGTATAATAGTGTAGTGTATAGTGTAGTGTATAATTTACTGTATAGTGTAGTGTATAGTAGTATAATAGTGTAGTGTATAGTTTACTGTATAGTGTAGTGTATAGTAGTATAATAGTGTAGTGTATAGTGTAGTGTATAGTTTACTGTATAGTGTAGTGTATAGTAGTATAATAGTGTAGTGTATAGTGTAGTGTATAGTTTACTGTATAGTGTAGTGTATAGTAGTATAATAGTGTAGTGTATAGTGTAGTGTATAGTTTACTGTATAGTGTAGTGTATAGTAGTATAATAGTGTAGTGTATAGTGTAGTGTATAGTTTACTGTATAGTGTAGTGTATAGTAGTGTATAGTGTAGTGTATAGTAGTGTATAGTGTAGTGTATAGTGTAGTGTATAGTAGTATAATAGTGTAGTGTATAGTGTAGTGTATAGTTTACTGTATAGTGTAGTGTATAGTGTAGTGTATAGTAGTATAAGTGTAGTGTATAGTGTAGTGTATAGTAATGTAGTGTATAGTGTAGTATAATAGTGTAGTGTATAGTGTAGTGTATAGTGTAGTGTATAGTGTAGTGTATAGTGTAGTGTATAGTGTAGTGTATAGTGTAGTGTATAGTGTAGTGCCTCCATAGAGTGTAATGTGTTCACTTATTCCCCTGTTAATGACGGGCTGTTGTAGGTTCAGTAAATATTAATGCATTCATTGATTAACCACGTTTCTTTTAATATTATATTATATTTATGTTGTTAGCATCTTTATGTATTAATAGGCTTTGTTTTTACGTTACAAAGTAAGTTTTTTGGGTGAAAAAGGTGTAACTTTCGATGCCATCTGAACTAATTAAGCCTTTAACGTGCATTACCCTATAACCGGCTTAACGCCAAAATAACTTAACGACCGCTTTCGCGGGCCCAATTACCGTCGTTCAGAGCAGGCCTTCTCCTGGAGTCGGCTCGTAATGGATCTGTGGGACCACCCCCATGTAGTTGGCCCATAATGGCCGTGTCGTATCCACAGAGACGACACTAAAAATACTGTCGCCAGCGATGCATCTCTCCCTGTCCCTCTCTCCGCGGGGGAGGGCTCAGAACGGCCGATTGAGCCAGCACTGTCGCAAAAGGTGGATTCAAGCCCTGGGCCTGGGTGGCTGTGCCAGGAGGTGGTGGGGTGGTCCATCATGGCCATGGCGGGCAAGGAACCAGAATCGCCGGAGATCCTGGGTGCACAAAAGCCCCGATTCTGGATGTCTCGCTCAGGGGGAGCAAAGAACCACCGGGCAACGGGACGCGCTCGCACGCACGGACGAGGAGAACCTCGCCTGCCAGAGAGACAGAGAGATAGGGAGACAGATTCTCTTGAATCTATTTGTTATACCATTTGTTTTTATTTAACTGCTAAGGCCCACCACAGAGTTGCCTTGTAGCTCTTTTTCAGAAGCAACCTGGCCATCAACAAACGATAGCTCGGCAAAGTAGCTCGTCATCATCGTGCGGATATTTATCGTGGCAGCAAAATACTCGAAATGTGCAAAGGCGTTGATTCTAAATGTGAAGGGGAAGAAACCGGAGGACCCAGAGAAAAATCCACACGACCACGTGCAGAGACAGAGACACACAAACTACAAATACACAGCAGGCGTCAGGATCGGGTTCAAACCCATGACCTCTTGCACACCAGGCGAGGTAGTTGACATCTCGCCAAAACGGTGCCCAAACAGCGAGAGAGAAAGCACAAGAGACGGAGAAAGAGCGAGAGAGAAACAGCGCGAGAGAGAGACCGAGACAGAGAGAAACAGGAGAGAGACAACACAATAGAGAGACAGAGAAAGAGACTGGATAGAGACAGAGCGAAATAGAGAGAGCGAGAAAGACAGAGAGAGACAGAGAGAGACAGAGAGAGACAGAGCGAGAAAGACAGAGACAGAGAGAGACAGAGAGAGACAGAGAGAGACAGAGCGAGAAAGACAGAGACAGAGAGAGACAGAGAGAGACAGAGCGAGAGAGACAGAGACAGAGAGAGAGAGACAGAGAGAGATAGAGCGAGCGAGACAGAGAGAGACAGAGCGAGAGAGACAGAGAGAGACAGAGAGAGACAGAGAGAGACAGAGCGAGAGAGACAGAGACAGAGAGAGACAGAGCGAGAGAGACAGAGACAGAGAGAGACAGAGACAGAGAGAGACAGAGCGAGAGAGACAGAGACAGAGAGAGAGACAGAGCGAGAGAGACAGAGACAGAGAGAGACAGAGCGAGACAGAGCGAGAGAGAGAGAGAGACAGAGCGAGAGAGACAGAGACAGAGAGAGAGACAGAGAGAGACGGAGCGAGAGAGACAGAGAGAGAGAGAGAGACAGAGAGAGACGGAGCGAGAGAGACAGAGAGAGACAGAGCGAGACAGAGCGAGAGAGACAGAGCGAGACAGAGACAGAGAGAGACAGAGACAGAGAGAGACAGAGACAGAGCGAGACAGACAGAGAGAGAGACAGAGAGAGACGGAGAGAGACGGAGAGAGACAGAGAGAGACAGAGACAGACAGACAGAGACAGAGAGAGACAGAGACAGAGAGACAGAGACAGACAGAGAGAGACAGAGCAAGGGAGACAGAGAGAGACAGCGCGAGAGAGACAGAGAGAGACAGAGAGAGACAGAGAGAGACAGAGAGAGACAGAGACAGAGAGAGACAGAGACAGAGCGAGAGAGACAGAGCGAGAGAGACAGAGCGAGAGAGACAGAGCGAGACAGAGCGAGACCGAGAGAGACAGAGACAGAGAGAGACAGAGACAGAGCGAGACAGAGCGAGACAGAGCGAGACAGAGAGAGACAGAGAGAGACAGAGCGAGACAGAGACAGAGAGAGACAGAGACAGAGAGAGACAGAGAGAGACAGAGACAGAGAGAGACAGAGACAGAGAGAGACAGAGCGAGACAGAGCGAGAGAGAGAGAGAGACAGAGCGAGAGAGACAGAGACAGAGAGAGAGACAGAGCGAGAGAGACAGAGACAGAGAGAGACAGAGCGAGACAGAGCGAGAGAGAGAGAGAGACAGAGCGAGAGAGACAGAGACAGAGAGAGAGACAGAGAGAGACGGAGCGAGAGAGACAGAGAGAGAGAGAGAGACAGAGAGAGACGGAGCGAGAGAGACAGAGAGAGACAGAGCGAGACAGAGCGAGAGAGACAGAGCGAGACAGAGACAGAGAGAGACAGAGACAGAGAGAGACAGAGACAGAGCGAGACAGACAGAGAGAGAGACAGAGAGAGACGGAGAGAGACGGAGAGAGACAGAGAGAGACAGAGACAGACAGACAGAGACAGAGAGAGACAGAGACAGAGAGACAGAGACAGACAGAGAGAGACAGAGCAAGGGAGACAGAGAGAGACAGCGCGAGAGAGACAGAGAGAGACAGAGAGAGACAGAGAGAGACAGAGAGAGACAGAGACAGAGAGAGACAGAGACAGAGCGAGAGAGACAGAGCGAGAGAGACAGAGCGAGAGAGACAGAGCGAGACAGAGCGAGACCGAGAGAGACAGAGACAGAGAGAGACAGAGACAGAGCGAGACAGAGCGAGACAGAGCGAGACAGAGAGAGACAGAGAGAGACAGAGCGAGACAGAGACAGAGAGAGACAGAGACAGAGAGAGACAGAGAGAGACAGAGACAGAGAGAGACAGAGACAGAGAGAGACAGAGAGAGACAGAGACAGAGAGAGACAGAGACAGAGAGAGACAGAGAGAGACAGAGACAGAGACAGAGCGAGACAGACAGAGAGAGACAGAGACAGAGACAGAACGAGACAGAGACAGAGACAGAGCGAGACAGACAGAGACAGAGAGAGACAGAGACAGAGACAGAGCGAGACAGAGACAGAGCGAGACCGAGAGAGACAGAGCGAGACAGAGACAGAGCGAGACAGAGCGACAGAGACAGAGCGAGACAGAGCGAGAGAGAGACAGAGAGAGACGCACGCAAACAAGAACCCAGCCGTAATCTCACGACCCCATCGCCACCACTCACCGTTTTCCGCGTGCGCGTCGCAGCTGGCGTGGCTCCCGGCTCTCCGCCCCTCACGTCGCCCCCTCCGGAGCCGGGAATTCCCCCTCCTCCGCCGCTGCCAGGGCCTTCGCGACGAGTCGGCGTTTCGGAAGCGGAGGCCTCGGGCCGGGCGCCGTCCGGCTCGTCGAGCCACGCCCCTCCCGTCCGCCGCTCCCGTCCGAGGTTCCCGGCGGCGGCGGCGGCGGCGGCGGACGACTCGCCGGGGAGGCTCTCCCGCGCCGGACAATCCCGGTCCGCGGCGGGCACGGCGTGCCGGGCGGCGGAGGGCTTCTCCGGGGCCTCGGGACCGCGCAGGGCGACCCGGCCCACCGCCCGGCCGTGGCCCGAGCCGGCCGGCTCCCCGCCACCCCGTCGCGCGCCGCCCGTGCACGCGGTGAAGTTGAGGAGGTCGTAGGGATCGCCGGCGGTGCGGAAGGCGTCCCACAGGCGCCGCTGGGTGCAGTCGCCCTCCGAGCTCCAGCTGGTGTCGCTGCCGAAACCGTCGTCGGAATCGTCGTCGTCGTCGGAATCGTCGTCGTCGTCGGAATCGTCGTCGTCGTCGGAATCGTCGCTGGCTCGCTGAAGGCCGAGGATGATGGCGATGTTGCGGTTGCGGCAACGCGGCGGCGACGGCGCTTCGGCGCCGCTCGGTTTCGCGCCGACGAAGCTGCCGGCGCCGCCGGCGGCGGCGGCGGCGGCGGCGGCGGCGGCGGCGGCGTGGGGGGGCGAAGCGAAGTCCTCCGACTCGAGGCTGTTGAACGCCGAGTCGCCGCGCGGCGACGGCGCCGCCTGGCAGAACGTCGCCACGGCAAGGTGGACGGGCCGCGACGACGTGCAGGGCCCGGCCACGACCACGAAGGGCGCGAGGAAGTCCAAGCCGGCGTCGTCGTCGTCGTCGCCGTCGTCGTCGTCGTCGTCGTCGTCGTCGTCGTCGTCGTCGTCGTCCTTCTCAAAGTCAACGTTGCTGCAGGCGACGCTGACGGCGCTGTCGCCAGCGTCGCCAGCGTCGCCACATTTAAAGTTCACGACGATAACTTCACCACCGTTGTCACCGCCACCACCGTCTGCTCCTGCAGCCAGAGTCACAACGCCCGAATCGCCACCGCCTCTGCCGTCATCTCCTCGCTTAGTCCTGACGCCGTCTTCGCCATCATCGGCGGCGCCATCGCGGTGAACATTTCCATCGCCGCCGCCGCCGCCAACTCTCACCACGCATCTTCCAGTCGCTTCACAGTCAAAAACACCACCGCCACAGCGGTGTTCACCACCGGCACCATCTCCACCACCACTCGGGCACCCACCCCATTCACCCCAAACGCCGCCTTCGCCGCCGCCGCCGCCGCCGCCGCCGTCATCGCCCTCTCGACGTTTGCGGCAAAACTCGCCGCGCTGCTTAGTCGACGGCGGCCCCCCAGCAGAGTCCACCGGCGGCACGGCGGCCGTGGCGGCGCCGGAGCCGCGAGGGCCGCGAGCGAAGAGGTAGGCCCAGAAGAGGAGCCAGCGCAGGGCCCGGGCGGCCGGCCCCACCACGCGGGAGGCGAGCCCCCAGGTGGCCACGGTCCACTCCAGCGAGGGGGCGGCGCCCGCCATCCCTCCCCTCCTCCCCTCCGCCTCGGCACGCTCGGGCAACGCCGTTGCAACCGGACGCGGCTCTGCCGGCCGTCGCGAGCGCCCGGATGTCGCCGATTCGCCCTCCGGCAAAACGCCCAGCGACACACACACACACACACAACCCCCCCCAACCACCGGACCACCGACCGCCCCAAACCTCCGCCGGGAACCCAACCGCACCAGCGCTCACCAACCCACCCGCTCACGTCCGGGCGGCAATGCCACGAAGAGCGGCGGCAGCGGCGGCCACGGAATCGAACTCGCTCGCGAAGGCCGGACCACCGCGGAGGCCGGCGACGCTCGGAGGCTCGTAGGCGCTGGCGTAGGCTGCGGCCGCTTTCTCGGCCGGCATCCTCACGTCGGCGTCATTGCGAGCGGGCGTGCGAGCGGTCCTCCCGGCGGAGCGACGCGACGGAGCCTCGCTCGGGAGAATTCGGACGGCGATCGACGACGGGCCTTGCCATGGCCGCTTGAGCAGCGCAAGACGGGGAAGCTGCTGCTGCTGCTGCTGATGCTGCTGCTGCTGCTGATGCTTGGGCCCGATTTGAAGGGAGCAGCAGGGGTCGGTAGTCGGACAAGCGGAGCCGCAGGACTCGAGGCAGGCCAAGGCAGCGATGTGGGTTAAATATAGCAGATAGTACGCGTAATGGTGGGCGCAGCTGTGATGCGAATAGTGAAAATGCATTAAGGATGGTTTGCTGTTGTTCAAGGCCGTGATTGAACCAATCGCCGGAGCACTCAACCTGTTGGGGTTCTGTCGGCTCTAAAAGAATGTCATCGTGCAGAAAAAGTTCCGATGATCCGAAACCTAACAACCACACACGGAAGAAGACGGAAGTTAGAATTAGAGATGTGAAAACCCCCCACGGCGACTCGCGCCATAAACGAAACTACGAATGAGCAAAACCCAGGCGGTCCACATAAGGCAGAAGCAGCAGCATTAGTATTGGCACTTCTGCATTCCGCCCGGCAATTATCATTGTTAAGCTATGGCGTATGAATTGAATGGAACATCGCACGTGAAATAATAAAAAAATAACACTTTACGGAATGTCGGTCAATACGAGTAACGTCAAAGTTAACAGCAGCGTAAGTAACCTAAGTGTTATAGCCACAACAGTACTGAGCTGAGCAACGCCTGATGAAGCTAGTTGTGATTGCTGGCGAAACGTCGTACTCAGATTGTAAATGTTGTGGCTTGGCTCTCCAACACACAGCCGGTGTAGTGTTGTACTATTACACTACACTATACACTACACTATACACTACACTACACACTACACTATACACTACACACTACACTATACACTACACACTAGTACTGTACTAGTATACTACACTATACACTACAATATACACTACACTAGTACTGTACAAGTATACTCCACTATACACTACACTATACACTGCACTCTACACTACACTAGACACTACACTATACACTAGTACTGTACTAGTATACTCCACTATACACTACACTATACACTACACTATACACTAGTGCTGTACTAGTATACTCCACTTTACACTACACTATACACTACACTATACATTACACTACACACTACACTATACACTACACTATACACTACACACTAGTGCTGTACTAGTGCACTACACTATACACTACACTATACACTAGTGCTGTACTAGTATACTACACTATACACTACACTATACACTACACTATAAACTAGTACTGTACTAGTAACGAATTGGCACGTTCTGCTCAAAGTGACAACCCTCACTTTAAAAAAAAAACAACTATATTATGGGCAATAAAAATAGATTAACATTCCTATTCGACGAAAACGCAGCACAGGCTCAACAATACAACACTGTCACGTTCCAGCCGAATGTGATTAGCATTAAACACGATACAAATATAAACAACAGGCACAGCTGTATAAAGTAGCGAGTGTGCTTGAGCGTTCACAACGTTAAGGCTCAACCGCCTGCGAATGCTCCACACACGCGAGGCTCACGCGTTCACGTTCACCTCGTGCATGAAGACATTCGCCTACGAAGAAGACAAATTGTTGTCGTTGTTGTTGTTATTATTCTTCTCAGAAAGTGTCCACCACACAGAAGGCAACCAGCAGACCATCTGCTAGTCACCACGACCCACGGCCACACGGAGAAACACGCGTGTGGCTCGCGTCGAATGTGCCCACAGTCTGTAGCTACGACGACGCGATCGAGTTAGAGATCATTTAACGCGAGCCGGCTACATACAGTATGTGGGGCTTAATTTTTTTGTTTTAGCAATTAACTTAAAGCCGAGGCCTGGCGTCTCTCACCCTCTCGCTCGAAGCCCGCCGCTTGCCTAGCCGGGCCGCCGGGCCTCCGCGTCTGAAACTCGGCGCAGCGATCTGAGTTGGCCTACTGGAACAGTTTACGCGGTGGGCCTTGGGGATGACCATAAGACGCGGCTGCTAATGATGATCAATAATAAAAAAACGATGATTAATAATGATGATGATGACAGCGAGAGCGGAGCTGCGGCTAGCGACGATTGTTAAAGCGGCGTCGAGGCGGGAATGAAACTCGTGAGGGCCGAGGGCCGTGACCGGGGCTGCCAATGCCGTGTCCTGATTGGTCCAGAGCGCGCAACGTGACGGACGAAAGTAACTGCTCACTATCAGCGGGGGGTCGCAATAACGTTCCTGAGGGGTTGGTAATAATAATGATGATTAATTCAATTTTGATTTAAAGCTTTCGTGACTGCAGTAATTCATATTCTTAGCTCTTTCGGTAAAGTCACGTTGAAGGGAAAGAATAAAATAATAAAAAATCTAGATGAAACATTTTTATTGCTTTATATATATTTTTTATTGTTTTATATATATTTTATTGTTTCCCTTCAACGTGACTTTACCGAAAGAGCTAAGAAAAATTATGAATTCAGTTTTCTGTTTATTTTCAGTTTATTTTGGTATAGCCCTGTGAGCCATTCGGCTCTTGAATCGGGTGCAACCACAACAAACAAAAAAACAAAAACACGAACAAGAAAAACATCTTAGTGACTATGTGTGACTGTGCAAACAGAATTATCCATGAAAAAAAACCCAGCAAAGTATTCCTGAAAAAAGCACCGTACACCAACGCTGTGTGCAAAAAATCCCAGTGGGATGCAAGTCAAACAACAACAAAAAGACAACTTAGATTAAGGCCATCAGTCTAACTCCGTACGACAACAAAACAAACATGTCCAAACCAAAAAAAGTTTTCGAAATCACCAAAAAATAAAGCCATAATTGCAACGTAACAGTGATCACAGGGACTGTGACCACATTTTTACAATAAACTACGTAAATTAACATGTAACACCAAATCCTAGAGCCATAGCTGGCTGCATGAGTTACTCCACAACAACAGAAGCATCAGTCGGAGTATCAAATTTTTCAATGCACCTTTAAGATCAGCACGCTAAATCAAAATACAGATAATACCTTGCAGCGTCATCCGGAGAGAAACATTTTATTTTATTTTACGCCAATGAATAGCAGTGGCTGCTAGGGGTGTACAACTCCTCTAGATCAGTTTTGAGAGAAGATCTCATTGGTAGCGATTCAAGTTGCAGTTTATTGGCAATAGCATTCCAGACCCTGGGGGCATCAATAGCAAAGGCCCTTCCTCCAGTTTTTGTACGGCAATAGGGAATGTGAAGCTGGTAAATGAGCGAAGACCTGAGGTCAAATTTGTTCTTTGAAACAGAGAGGAGATCCAGCAGGTAGTCTGCGACTTTTTTTGTAAGTACATCTTGAATAAATTAGATCTGGTGCACAAGCCGTCGAACATTAAGAGATGTTAAGTTTGAACCAATGTAGAGATCACAGTGGTGAGTCCTATATGGGCAGTTCAATGTAAATCTTAAGGCCGAGTGATAGATGGAATCAAGCTTCTTCAGTACAGTACTTGGGGCTGATTTATACACGATGTCACAGTAGTCGAGTAGAGGCAGTATGGTAGCTTTTATCAATTCCAAACGGAACATTGGAGGGGAAGCAGTGCTTGTGTCGATACAGAAAACCAATTTTAATTTTTGTCTTTTTACAAATATAATCAATGTGATCTTCAAAACTAAGTTTTGAATCTAGGATGACCCCAAGATACTTATAGATCTTGACTTGCTCTATTTGATAATCATTTAAGGAATGTAATTGGGGAAAAATAACTTCCTGCTTTAGTCCTGGTGAGAAGCATAGCACCTTGGTTTTGGAGGTATTCAGGACTAGTTTAAGCGCAACTAGCTGATGTTGTAGTTTGTTGAAATCACCCTGGAGCTTAGCAATCACGTCATCCGGAGAGCGGTCAGCAGTAATCAGTATCGTGTCATCTGCAAAAACATTTACCCTGGAATGATCCAGGTCAGTGCCCAAGTCATTGACATAAAGAGAGTACAAAAGGGGGCCGAGGATGGAACCCTGTGGAATCCCTTTTGTTATCTTAACACTGTTTGACCTCCAACCATCTGTGAATACAGTTTGGGTGCGAGAAAAGAGGTAATTTTGTAACCATTTTACTTCGTTTTCGGAAAAACCGAGGCAACTTAATTTACTAAGCAGGGTGTTGTGGGCTACTGTATCAAAAGCTTTGGACAGGTCTAGAAAAAGACAGGCACAGTACTGCTTATTATCAAGGCTACTGTAAATGTGATTCAGAGAGTCTAATGCAGCAGATGTGGTGCTGTATTTTTTTCGGAACCAAGATTGTTTTAGATGTAGTAGATTGTTGGTGGACAGGAAACTGCTAATTTTGTAGGTGAATAATTTTTCAAAATTTTTCATCAACGGGGACACAATTGAGATAGGTCGGTAGTTATCTGGATCATCTTTAGGGCCCCCTTTGTGAAGTGGACGGACATAGGAATGTTTCCATTCTAGAGGAACTGATGCTTCTTTGATGGACAAGTTGAAAATATGGGCTATAGGTTTGTATATTAGGTGACCAACAGTTAGTAGAGCAAAGACGGGAAAACTATCTGCTCCGGTAGAGGAGGACCCTTTGAGGTAGGACAGTTGTTTCAGAACATTACTTTCGTGGATTGGCTGGAAACTAAATTCGTTTAATGTTTGGACAGGGGTGTAAGAATTTGCATGAGCAGGGGTGACTCCCAATACATTCTCAAAAAGATTACCAGCTTCAGAAAAATGAAGGTTAAAATTGTCAACTATTTTTTGGGGATCTGAAAAAATATTCCCCATTTGGGTTAAGCTCAGCGGGCAGATTGTCTGTTTTGGATGCCTTTTCGATACATTTGATTGTTTTCCAGAAAATCCTGGCATTTCCATGTGATTCCAGGAGAGTGGAGGAAAAGTAAGCATTTTATGCATGCCGTATTTTTTTCTGACGCATCTATTTTTTTTAAGTAACCAATCGTATTTTGTTTACAAAAAAACATAATTATCGTGTTGTTGGATATAAAGTGATTGATAGTCTTGATTAGAATTAAAGATTTATCTATCGCGTTGCTACGGTAATTTCTCTAGAAAATATTGGGAAATATTCGTTTAAACGTTTGTTGAGCAATGACCCCGATGAATAAGTTGCACTTGGTACAGCCCGCGTGGAGCGCGTTGCCCCCAGGTCGTCACGTCCACTCGGACTACACCATTCACAATGAGGGGGATAATTTAATACGCTTTTCAACGGTATCATATAATTAACTTATTCTGTTAAATGGAGTGCTACTTAAGACTTAAAAAAATAGTATTACCTTTAATAGTACAAGTTTACATTTTAAACTTGAGTTTAAAAGTTTAATAATGCTTTTGAAATAAGACACGTGTTCAAATGTCACCCCTTTCCCACGTCGACCAAAGACACGCGCGCCCCCGCTTAATCGACTACATTTCCACTCACTGAATCGATTCCTTTGGTAAAACAACTACAGTACTGTATATAACATCGTTATCATTAATATTCCAGTGTAACCTCACTTGCTAAATAATTAGAATAGCACACCGTACGCAATCTTAAAACAACGTGAAGATAATTCGATGTTTGTATGCCTGATTGAAGACAAAATTGTAATCGAATCGCGTACGTTCACATAACGTCGACGGGAATCGATGACGTCCACACCGAAAATAGCCTCGTGACGAAGGCGTGAGTCACAGGGAAATCCGCCTCGTCACGCCCTCGTAACGCCTCGTCACGCCCTCGTCACGCCCTCGTCACGCCTCGTTAACTACCTCGCCTGGTACACAGGAGGTCGTGGACTAGACCATCACCCTGATGTATATATTTGTGTGTAGCTAGGAGATGTTAACTACCTCGCCTGGTACACAGGAGGTCGTGGGCTAGACCTTCACCCTGATATATATATATTTGTGTGTGGCTAGGAGATGTTAACTACCTCGCCTGGTACACAGGAGGTCGTGGGCTAGACCCTCACCCTGATGTATATTTGTGTGTGGCTAGGAGATGTTAACTACCTCGCCTGGTACACAGGAGGTCGTGGGCTAGACCCTCACCTGATATATATTTGTGTGTGGCTAGGAGATGTTAACTACCTCGCCTGGTACACAGGAGGTCGTGGACTAGCCCCTCACCCTGATGTATATATTTGTGTGTAGCTAGGAGATGTTAACTACCTCGCCTGGTACACAGGAGGTTGTGGGCTAACCCCTCACCCTGATGTATATATTTGTGTGTGGCTAGGAGATGTTAACTACCTCGCCTGGTACACAGGAGGTTGTGGGCTAGACCCTCACCTGATATATATTTGTGTGTGGCTAGGAGATGTTAACTACCTCGCCTGGTACACAGGAGGTCGTGGGCTAGCCCCTCACCCTGATATATATTTGTGTGTAGCGAGGAGATGTTAACTACCTCGCCTGGTACACAGGAGGTCGTGGGCTAGACCCTCACCTGATATATATATGTGTGTAGCTAGATGTTAACTACCTCGCCTGGTACATAGGAGGTCGTGGGCTAGACCCTCACCCTGATATATATTTGTGTGTAGCTATGAGATGTTAACTACCTCGCCTGGTTCACAGGAGGTTGTGGGCTAGACCCTCACCTGATATATATTTGTGTGTGGCTAGGAGATGTTAACTACCTCGCCTGGTACACAGGAGGTCGTGGGCTAGACCCTCACCCTGATGTATATTTGTGTGTGGCTAGGAGATGTTAACTACCTCGCCTGGTACACAGGAGGTCGTGGGCTAGACCCTCACCCTGCTGTATATGTGTGTGTGGCTAGGAGATGTTAACTACCTCGCCTGGTACACAGGAGGTCGTGGGCTAGACCCTCACCTGATATATATTTGTGTGTGGCTAGGAGATGTTAACTACCTCGCCTGGTACACAGGAGGTCGTGGGCTAGCCCCTCACCCTGATATATATTTGTGTGTGGCTAGGAGATGTTAACTACCTCGCCTGGTACACAGGAGGTCGTGGGCTAGACCCTCACCCTGATATATATTTGTGTGTGGCTAGGAGAAGTTAACTACCTCGCCTAGGCTAGACCCTCACCCTGATATATATTTGTGTGTGGCTAGGAGATGTTGACTACCTCGCCTGGTACACAGGAGGTCGTGGGCTAGCCCCTCACCCTGATGTATATGTGTGTGTGGCTAGGAGATGTTAACTACCTCGCCTGGTACACAGGAGGTCGTGGGTTCCATCCCGACCCTGA